TCCTTAAGAATGGAGAGGTTTGATCTTCTTGCAGTCCATGGGACTCTCAAGAGTCTCCTCCAGCACCATAATTCAAAAGCATCCATTCTACGGCGATCAGCCTTCTTTATGGTCCAGCTCTCACTTCCGTACATCACTACTGGGAAAACCATAGCTTTAACTATACGGGCCTTTGTTGGCAAGGTGATGTCTCTACTTTTTAAGATGCTGTCTAGGTTTGTCATTGCTTTTCTCCCAAGAAGCAGGCGTCTTTTAATTTTGTGGCTGCTGTCACCATCTGCAGTGATCATGGAACCCAAGAAAGTAAAATCTCTCACTGCCTGAATTTCTTCCCCTTCTATTTGCAGGAGGTGATGGGACCAGTGGCCATGATCTTCGAAGGCAATATGCATACTATCTACTTATTACTAGGCGATTCCTTTTGCTTCTTTGCAAGCAGGGATGGTAAAATAAAACTCCAACATTCCAGCACCATGCAGAGTGTTTTATTTTTGCCCTTTGTCCACTGTGTACCACATTATTTCCCACTTCCTTGGTCCTCGCATACACAAATTTGGTTGTGTTTTTTTTTATGAGCTAACTGAAATTCCTTCCTACATTAATTTTTTTTCTACCATGTTAAAACAGATCCCTGAAAACAAGGCAAGCTGAGCTGGCTTGCAATTCATTGGGAGTTCCCATGGGTGCCTCAGTGGCCAAATCGGATTATACTACCAAATGCATGTGTGAAGCTAATGTACTAGCCATCATAGGCAAAGTAATGTGTTTCAAACATTATATGACAGCCACTGTTCGTAAGAAGAAGAAGAAGAAGAAGAAGAAGAAGAAGAAGAGGAGGAGGAGGAGGAGGAGTTTGGATTTGATATCCCGCTTTATCACTACCCGAAGGAATCTCAAAGCGGCTAACATTCTCCTTTCCCTTCCTCCCCTACAACAAACACTCTGTGAGGTGAGTGGGGTTGAGAGACTTCAGAGAAGTGTGACTAGCCCAAGGTCACCCAGCTGTGACTTCCTTTGCACCAGCCAGTCTGCCAGCCTTTCAGCATGTTAAACTTCTTCAGGCCTTGTGGGCACAAACTCCCAGCTGAGTATCACACTTTTGAAAGAAATTCTTTCAGGGACAAGCTGACCCACAAGAGAGAAACACAGCTGTGAGTCAGTGGCCAACGGGAAGGGAGAGCTGTGATCAAGATCTTATCCCCTTTCAAAAATACTGAAATACCAGGCCCATGCAGTTGCTTTGAAGGTTGCGAAAGTAGCAATGTGTGTGTTTCATTTAAGGTAAAGGGACCCCTGACCATTAGGTCCAGTCGTGGCCGACTCTGGGGTTGCGGCGCTCATCTCACTTTATTGGCCGAGGGAGCCAGAGTACAGCCGCTTCTGGTGAACCAGAGCAGCGCACGGAAATGCCATTTACCTTCCCACCGCAGTGGTACCTATTTATCTACTTGCACTTTGACGTGCTTTCGAACTGCTAGGTTGGCAGGAGCAGGGACCGAGCAATGGGTGCTCACCCCGTTGCGGGGATTCGAACCGCCAACCTTCTGATCAGCAAGTCCTAGGCTCTGTGGTTTAACCCACAGCGCCACCTGCGTCCCTGTGTTTCATTTACCCCTGATATAAATTGCACCACTCCTCTGGAAAGAATTAGTTCACGGGTTGGGGCTGAGGGTAGGGGAAGAACACACAGATAGCTCAGTGTGTGGAAACACAGCTAACAGCTGCTTGTTCAGGAGGAAAGGAGTTCAGAACAACCTAGTCCTACTTCCTTGATTTTCAAAGCAGCCACATGGGGCTTTCCAAGTAAAAAAAATATTTTTTTTTAAAGACAGCAGGAAATTTTGCTCATGGATTTTCCATGCCATCTAGTTTGGCCCTTCGGCTGGCTGCAGAGACTTCCTATCTGTGCTACAGAATGAGATTAGGAGCCATTAGCGCTTTCTGCAAATGCTGGAAGTAGAAACTGCAACAGAACAAGATTCCAAACCTCCTCTGTGCCTCTAAGCCATGGGTAGGCAAACTAAGGCCCGGGGGCCAGATCTGGCCCAATCGTCTTCTAAATCCGGCCTGTGGACAGTCCGGGAATCAGCGTGGATCCTTGCCCATCCTGGCTTATAAAAGCTAGCCGGGAAGGACTGGGCGATGGGCTTCGTGGGGTGGTGAATGCTTCCCTCCGTGAGGGAGCCTTCCCAGACCCGCTGAAAGAGGCGGTTATTAAACCGCTTCTTAAAAAACCATCTTTAGATGCGGCCACGATGGCCAACTATCGCCCAGTCTCAAATCTTCCATTCTTGGGCAAGGTGATTGAGCGAGCGGTTGCCGAACAACTCCAGGCACGCCTGGAAGAAGCAGACCATTTGGATCCCTTCTAGTCGGGATTCAGGCCTCATCATGGGACTGAAACTGCCTTGGTCGCACTGGTTGATGATCTCCGGCGGGCTAGGGACAAAGGTGAGAGCTGTTTCCTAGTTCTGCTGGATCTCTCAGCGGCGTTTGATACCATCAACCATAACATCCTTCTGGACCATCTTGAGGGGCTGGGAGCTGGGGGCACTGTCATACAGTGGTTCCGCTCCTTCCTCCTGGGCCGTGTTCAGAAAGTGGTGGTGGGGGATGAGTGTTCAGACCCCTGGGCTCTCACTTGTGGGGTGCCTCAGGGTTCTGTCCTCTCCCCCATGCTTTTCAACATTTACATGCAGCCGCTGGGAGAGATCATCAGGAGGTTTGGGCTGGGTGTTCATCAGTATGCGGATGATACCCAGCTCTACCTCTCTTTTAAATCAGAACCAGTGAGGGCGGTGAAGGTCCTGTGTGAGTGTCTGGAGGCAGTTGGAGGATGGATGGCGGCTAACAGATTGAGGTTGAATCCTGACAAGACAGAAGTACTGTTTTTGGGGGACAGGAGGCGGGCAGGTGTGGAGGATTCCCTGGTCCTGAATGGGGTAACTGTGCCCCTGAAGGACCAGGTGCGCAGCCTGGGAGTCATTTTGGACTCACAGCTGTCCATGGAGGCACAGGTCAAATCTGTGTCCAGGGCAGCTGTTTACCAGCTCCATCTGGTACGTAGGCTGAGACCCTATCTGCCTGCGGACTGTCTCGCCAGAGTGGCGCATGCTCTGGTTATCTCCCGCTTGGACTACTAAAATGCACTCTATGTGGGGCTACCTTTGAAGGTGACTCGGAAACTACAACTAATCCAGAATGCGGCAGCTAGACTGGTGACTGGGGGTGGCCGCCGAGACCATATAACACCGGTCTTCAAAGACCTACATTGGCTCCCAGTACGTTTCCGAGCACAATTCAAAGTGTTGGTGCTGACCTTTAAAGCCCTAAACGGCCTCGGTCCAGTATACCTGAAGGAGCGTCTCCACCCCCATCATTCTGCCCGGACGCTGAGGTCCAGCGCCGAGGGCCTTCTGGCGGTTCCCTCATTGCGAGAAGCAAAGCTACAGGGAACCAGGCAGAGGGCCTTCTCGGTAGTGGCGCCCGCCCTGTGGAACGCCCTTCCAGCAGATGTCAAAGCGATAAACAACTACCTGACATTCAGAAGACATCTTAAGGCAGCCCTGTTCAGGGAAGTTTTTAACGTGTGATATTTTACTGTATTTTTGGTTTTCATGGAAGCCGCCCAGAGTGGCTGGGGAGGCCCAGCCAGATGGGCGGGGTATAAATAATAAATTATTATTATTATTATTATTATTATTATTATTATTATTATTATTATTATTATGAGTAGAATGTGTGCTTTTATTTAAAATGCATCTCTGGGTTATTTGTGGGGCCTAGGAATTCGTTCATTCCCCCCCTTCAAAATACAATCTGGCCCCCCACAAGGACTGAGGGACAGTGGACTGGCCCCCTGCTCTAAGTCTTAAGGGAAGGAAGAAGAACAACAGCCCCCCCCCCATTCTCCTGCCATCATGCAGGCTTATTGACAATAGAATCATGCAGGTTCTTGACCAGTACTGGAGAAACATTTTGTTTAGACTACTGCAAAACATTCTACATGGAACTGCCCTTGAATATGGTTTAGACAGGTTGCAGGTGTCAGCAAACTTTTTCAGCAGGGGGCCGGTCCACTGTCCCTTAGACCTTGTGGGGGGCTGGACTGTATTTTGGGGAAAAAATAAATGAACGGATTCCTGTGCCCCACAAATAACCCAGAGATGCATTTTAAATAAAAGTACACATGCTGATTCCCGGAATGTCCGTGGGCCGGATTTAGAAGGCAATTGGGCCAGATCCAGCCCCTAGTTTGCCTACCCATGGTTTAGAGATTGCAGATAGCACAAAATACAGTTGTCAGTATTCTGATGGTCCTGAAAGCTAAAGACCATAAACAATGGTGCTTAAAGATCTGCACTGACTGCCTATTTGCTACTGAGCCTGAGTCCAGGTTTTGGTACTGAGTTATAAAGCCTGAATGGTTTAGAGTCCTGTTACCTTAAGAGCTGGCACTTATACCATTCTGTCTGCAACTTGCGATCTGTTGGACATCTCCTCTTGGTAGTTTCACCACCAACTGAAGCTTCCCAGCGACAATATGCTAATTATGAACTGCACTCCCACTATTGATGTAACCCACCCTGATTTTTTTTGACAGAGTGGGTTGCAAGTTTTAAATATATATATACAGTGGAACCTCGGGTTACAGATGCTTCAGGTTACAGACTCCGCTAACCCAGAAATAGTACCTCGGGTTAAGAACTTTGCTTCAGGATGAGAACAGAAATCATGTGGCAGTGGCGCAGCGGCAGCGAGAGGCCCCATTAGCTAAATTGGTGCTTCAGGTTAAGAACAGTTTCAGGTTAAGAACAGACCTCCAGAACGAATTAAGTTCTTAACCCGAGGTACCACTGTACTTGTGGAAGATATACAGATAAAATACCTCTATACACTTCACAGAATTCTGACCAGAGTTCTTATCAATTTTACAGCAGAGAAATTGGATCATTAGCAATTTCGTACTGTGGAGTCCTGGTTCCAGCTCCAATACTTACATTGTACAGTGGGATGGTTTTCATCACTTTGTAGTGCTTTGTTGGATCCATCTTATAAAGGTGTCTGTCAGTGATAAAAATTGCCCGATCTTCCACTTTGCTAAAGCGGTTTATCTGCAAATAATCAAATCCCCATGGGAATTAAAAGTCATTTCCTTTTTTAAACAAAACAAAACACACTTCACACACTCTGAACAGGGTGATAGTAGAATTATTGGCTCCTTAAGATGTTTGAATTTTGCTTCCACAGCACATCAGGTTTTAACTGACAGAAGGATTAAAAATGGTCCGGATTTAAGATGAGTTCAAATGGTCCGGATTTAAGATGAGTTCAACTTGGTGGTATTGTGTAGAAAGCAGTAATTGAAAAGAATGAGATTAAAAAAGAAAGGAAAAGTACTTCCGTTAGCTTAACTTTGATTGGTAAGATATCAGCCCAAACATGATGATCCTGTTGCTGCCTGTATTTGTTCACTAAAGAGGGACAGGAACCAGCCCTCTAACCACGTAAACTGCCAAAAACAGAGCATGGCTGATTGCAAGAGGGTAGGACTTTGCTTTAAAGGCAGGTCTTACCTGAGCTTCGGCTTTCTCTGGTATATTGGAAGTTATCTAGGAAGTTTCACAGACAGAGTATGAAAGCTAAAGTCTACACTAGTCTACTGTAATGCACTCTACAGGGGGCTGAACTTGAAAACATCCAAACGCTTTAAATCAGTCCAAAATGCAGCTGCCAGATTGTTACAGATTTTATTTTGGTGCTCTTATCTTCATTGGCTAGCCATGTATTTCTGGACTCAATTCAAGTCCTAGTTCTTTCCTTTACAGCCTTAAGAAAGGGGTGGGAAGCCTCAGGCCTGGGTACCAAATGAGGCCCCAATGCCTCTCTATTTGCCCCTCAGATTTCCCCAGGTGATGCTCCCAGGCAACACCTCTCACTGGTCCTGCTTTTCAGCCTGAGTGCTTTGGCCTGGATGGAATGTATCCCTGAACTCCAATAATGCCTCTTGCTCTAATAATGCCTCTTGCCTCTTGCTCCTCTTGGATGGAGCGAAGAGCAAGGTGTACGAATGTGTGTAGAAATTAATCTATATACAAAGGTGACGTTTACGTTTGTTGCTCTGCCCATTTTTGCCTTTGGCCTTGTCCACCGCTTGCACGTGGCCCTTGAAAGGTTGCCCCAGACAGTACAGTGTGTATGTATTCATTTTAACTCAAAAAAGATCCTTTAAGTTCAGAGATGATAGATAGATAGATAGATAGATAGATAGATAGATAGATAGATAGATAGATATAGATAGATAGATAGATAGATAGATAGATAGATAGATAGATAGATAGATAGGTTGCCCCAGAAGAGAATGCAGACCCTGGACTGAAAAAAGATTCCTCACTCGTTCCCCACGCCTGCCCTAATGGCTTGGGACCTGGCTACTTCTCTCCTTCGATCAGTATTGGGGGTACTGCTCCAGATTCCCAAGCTGATTAAATTGCAGCTGGTGGACGAGAGGAACAGTGCATAACATCATGGCATCAACATCATAGCATGGCCTCCCCCTAAGTTTTGTTTTGTCACCTAGTCATGAGGCTTTCAGGGTGGCTGTCTGAGCCCCCGCTATTATGCAGTGCAATAACCCCACTTTTCTGTTAACTGGTTTATCAGCCCTGAGTGCTCACTGGAAGGACAGATCGTGAAGCTGAGGCTCCAGTACTTTGGCCACCTCATGAGAAGAGAAGACTCCCTGGAGAAGACACTGATGCTGGGAAAGATGGAGGGCACAAGGAGAAGGGGGCGACAGAGGACGAGATGGTTGGATAGTGTTTTCGAGGTTACCAGCATGAGTTTGACCAAACTGCAGGAAGTAGTGGAGGACAGAGGTGCCTGGCGTGCTCTGGTCCATGGGGTCACGAAGAGTCGGACACGACTAAACGACTAAACAACAACAACAACACTTGGTTTTTCAGATTGATTTCATTGAAGTTTTTACTGTTTTTATTATGGCCACTGCGAAGTAACATGGGTTCACATATGTACAGCATCTATGTAAACTAGCATTATCCGGGAACGCCCTGAAGATGTCAACTCTGGATGCCTTTTGTAACAGGAAGACTCATGCCTTGCTGTGACAACTCTAAAGATAGCAAATGGCAGGATATTCTGGTGTGTGTGTGTGTGTGTGTGTGTGTGTGTGTGTGTTTGGGAGTGTGTGGGAGGGCAGAACAGCACCATTTATAAATTACCATTACATTTGTAATGCTAGCAACGTGAAACATACTGTTTGCTAACAGTTTCCAAAATGGGACTGAAACCATTTCCATCAGTGAAAGGAAGCCCACTTGTTACTACTTTTACAGCTGAAGACTCCAAATCTGAAATTAATTGAGGATGCCACTGGGATTCAGTAAACCACAATTGAGTCCCCTGCTGAGAAACGCGCCATTAGATCAGTTTTCCCTTCCAACTTGCTATTGACAGGCATCCAGCTGGGCAAACGGAATTAAAATGATAGTTCAAAGCATAGCCTTGAAGACGGGTTGCCTATATCTATCATCTATCTATCTATCTATCTATCTATCTATCTATCTATCTATCCCACATGGCTGGATGTAGCAGGAGGAGAAAGAACAAAAGACTACTCCAATGGATTTCAGTAAGAGATGGTTTGGAATGCAGAACAAGTTTCCCCACACCCAAAAATCAGAGGGGTATATTTGTGTGTGTGTGAACATGCATATGTACAGAAATCATTTTCACTAAAAAGAAGAAGGATAAATCTTAGAAGAACTGTTCACCCTAACTAATGAGAATAGGACAAGCAGCAATGCATAAATATTATTATTATTATTATTATTATTTCTACAGTTTTCTAGGTTCTGTACAATTTAAAAATAAAAACAAAACCAGCTGGCTGTGGAGATAATGATGAACAAGGAAGCCCTCTCCAAGGCATAAAGACTTTCTGACTTCATCCTACTGTTTGGCAGGAGCCCAAATTACACAATTAGCATCTCTCCTTTATTGGTAACCAACGTGAGTCCTTCAGACAAGCAGCATGCTCTCTTTAACAGAGTCAAATAATCCCTTAAATCTGTGCAAAGGTAGGACACCTCACCCTTTCCAGGTAGCTTGTCACTTGTATCAGTAACTCAAAATCAGCTAAGAGGTTTAGGTGTCAAACACAGAGAGTAGGCAATGCTCTGAAGAACCATCTAGCCAAGAGATGACAGATGGGAAACTAGGTCTTGTCTTCTGCAGCAGTACTAATTGCCAGTACACACTGCACGTGCCATATATTTATGCATTTAACAGCACCATCTTCAACATGGAAAGCTCCACTCCATCAATCAGAAACACAGAAAGACAAAGAAGAGCAAAGGGAAGCCTTGATTCTCTTTGATTCCCACTTCTTCTATTGCTATGAATAATCAACACCTGATTTGCTCTGTCCCTGCTGCTTCAAGGCATTCACGAAGATGGGCTTCCTCAGCCACTATGGCCAAGTGGAAAATGTACTGCTAACAAACAAGTGAAACACTGGTGTGCTTATTGATTGCCATAAACATACAGCTGCTCTGACCATGTCTGGGGATTGATTGCCTTCTTCGCTTCCAACAGCAATCTTCAAAGTCTCTTACACTGTTTAGTCCACAAGACTGAATATCTCACCATGATTACTACCATCCATCCACACACACACACACACACACACACACACACACACACACAGTAAAAGTGTCTTGACCTTAGGTGATTTCACAAGAGCCACTATGAAATGACTAATTACACCGGGTAACAATTTTTGACTTTTTGAATGTTGTCTAGATTTCTACAACTGATTTAGGGTATTTTTGCACTGCTGAATCAGGAAATGGCATCCGTTTCTCTCCATCAGGTCAGGTTTATTGTAAACTGAATGGTGGGCACTGATAAAGGTAAGTGCACGTAAATTGCATGTTGTTTCACCATTTTTCAAACTTCAGGGCTTGAACTTCCGTTTCTTGGAACTCCTGGAATGCTCAGCGGCAGGGAGGTCTCTCTTCAGAGTCCAACAGTAGTCAGCCATCATGACTGCGTCCCAGTGACCCTGATACCTGGTCTCCATCTCTTTCATATCCTGATGGAATCTCTCCCCCTGCTCGTCACTCATTGAACCCAGTTTCTCAGGAAACCGGTCCATATGTGAAAATAGGTAGTGCATCTTGACGCTCATGTTGCAGCCCAAGTTTCTGAAAGCAGTCGGCATGTTGTTGACAAGTTCTGCGTAGTTTCTGGCCTTATTGTTGCCAATAAAGTTCTTCACTACCAGAACAGATGCCTTCCACGCTTCCAGTTCTACTTTGTTCATTGAGTTTCCAAACTCTGCATCTCTGATGAGCTGACGAATCTGAGGACCGTCAAAGATGCCAGCTTTCAACTTCTCCATGGTCAATCCTGGAAAAGCCTGACACAAGTAAGTGAAGCAGTCACCATCCTTGTCCAGAGCCTTGGTGAACTGCTTGATTAAGCCGAGCTTGATGTGCAGCGGTGGGAAGAGTATTCTGTCTCTGTCCACCAGAGGGTCGTTGATGACGTTCCTTTCTTTGCAAGGCACCAATTCCTCCCGCACAGGCCAGTCCTTCTTCGTGTAATGCTGAGCACAGTCCCTACTATCCCACATGCACAGAAAACATGGGTACTTGGTGAAGCCAGACTGTTGTCCCAACAAAAAGTTCACCATCTTCAGGTCAACACAAATAGACCACTTATGCTGATCATAACCAATTTTCTCCAGCACATACTTCACCACTTCATAGTTCTCCTTCAGTGTACTCAAGTGAGCCAGGGGTATAGAGGCAAACTGGTTGCCGTTGTGTAGCAGAACACATTTCAGTGATCGCTTGCTGCTGTCAATGAACAGTCTCCAATCTTTGGGTTCGTACTGTGGCACTCCAAGCTTGAGCAGAAGCTGTGCAATATCTGCACAGTACACCAAGTCCTTCTCTTCTGAGAAAAAACGGAGGTACTCTTGATGCCTGTTGCGGAAGAAGCTGATGTGAGCACTGTAAGAGAGGAGGTTTTTTCCTTCAATCTGGATGTCAACAGTTCGGCAGAGTCCTTTGACAAGCTGAGGTCA